TGAAGCAGATAAAGACTATGTGTGTGTGTTTGTGTGAAAAAGTATGAGAGAAAGAAAGTGTCAGAGGAAATAGGGGAAGAAGTTGGTTAGCAAAGTGCTGCTATGGCTTCCACTGCTACAGCACAGCAACTTAATATTGTAGGTAGCCACACGTGTACATACAGTATGGGTACAAAAGACTGTGTGAAGGCTAGTGATCTGTTATAAGTAGGATTTCCATTATTGCTCCGTTTTACGTACTTGATATTTCCATTACTTTATTATTTATAAGTTGGCGCAATTATGAGGTCAAAATATTTTTATTTACACTTGTGTTGATGTTTTTAAGGATAAATGATCTGATTTCATCTCCAGCTGGGCTGAAAAGTATCCAATGTGTGAAATTATTCTTTTTACTAAATAAAGTGACACAGTTAAGTGTAAGTCCCCCAATTATTGCCCGATTTTGCCAACACCCTTCTCTTTTCTGGCTTACAATTTAATTATTCATGACATCACTTACAAACAACGCAGAGAAATCAACAGATCTTTGATAATATTGGCTGATTATTCTCTGTTAATGCCTACTTTTTGATTTAAAACTGATTAACATTATTCAGAGCTTCGTCTAATCCAAAGCTTTTCATCTAAACCGCAAACATCTTTTGACTGAATGTACAATTAAATGTTTCCTCACCAACTGTTGTACGCTTCGTGAATTAAATGTTTCCTCACCAACTGTTGTAGGCTTCATGAATGTGCCACATGTCTTTGATAAACATTTGAAAGTAGAAGCTGTTGTTAGGGATTAAAAGGAGATGAGACAAAAATCAAAACGTGAATGTTTGATAGTATTCAGTCGATAGAATATTTCATCATCTCGAGATGTAATTCTTTTACTCCAATTATCAAAACTAAATTTAGGGACAACTGTTCCTCTGTCCATGTGAGTCTGTGGCAGATCTATTGGACAAATCGATCAGATCTTAGCAGCATTTTCCGCTCAGTTAGTGGCAATCAATGGCTTTATGTACAGAGGGGGAGAGAGACAGAGAGAAAGTGAGGGTCCAGCCTCTGATCCTCTATGAAGTACTGTACCCCTGATTTATCAGACCTCGCAAGTGGTCAAATTTGGGCTGTTTAAAGTGTCTCCTGAAGATAAATCAACCGCACATCAAGATGAGATTTCCCACTGATGAACAATTCTATGAAGATGTCTTTTGAAATTACATCATCACCAATTCACACTGTTTCCATAAACATATATGTTGCTTTATCCTGGTTTGTTACTGGGCTTTCATCGATGAGCAGTCTCATGAGCAGAATGCCTTATTAGTGCATGAAGTCCAGAACAGACCTTGTTACCAGTCCACTTTAAGTTGATTCAAGTACTTAAGATAAATCATTTGGCCTGAGCTGTTTTTACAATTACTGAAAATCCTCCAGTGATTTAACTTTTCACTTTGCTGCAGTGACGTATGGGACCAGTGACGTCACCATTGGGTGTGGTTACAGGTGCAAAAAGCACATTTTTTATCACACTAAACCACACCTACTAGTGATGTTTTGTGTGGTCTGCTTTTAACAGATAAACCTGGTGTTACTCTTTAGAGATCCAATAAGCCAGCAAAATAACCAGATTTAAATAAGCAACAATCATTTGGTTTCCATAATACTCACAAACAAGTATGTAGTGAAACCAACTGGGTCTTCTGGGCCTCTTGAAGCAGTCTGTACTTACTTACTAGCAGATAAGTCCCTTCAGATGATGTTACAGTGCGCTGCGTTCACTACAATGTTTTCATTTTTAGAGATGACATAAAAACATGTAGAAAATGACAACAAAAACTCATTTTGTTTAACTTGAGACTCATATTAATTTGTCTGGACAAACTGCAAACCCATGGCTTCAGTGGAAAAAGTAGCTAAGACAGGAAATAGCATTTATCTTGTTCTCTGAAATTAACACAGAGCAAGTGAGCAAACGAGGTTTACTTTGTGTAGAAGCGATAACACGTTTTAAACTGTGGCCTTGTTTCTTATGGTCCCTCTTGGGCTTTTTAGATGGCTGCAGGGTAGAGCGATGAAAAACTGCAGGGAGGGAATAAAGAGAACAAGCCCATGGAGTGCAGTGGACCTACAATACGATGCCCTGAAACAGAAGGACGATAGTAGGTCATTCAAGGCAAGATGGATGGACTGAGGAAGGACAGAGAGGGAATACAGGAAGAGTGGGATGTGGAAAAAAAGAAGAAAGAAATTGAGGGTAAGAGAGAGAGAGATGGGGAGCAATAGGGATGAAGGGAGAACTGATAATTGGGCCTCATTTGCAAGTGAGTCTGCGTGTTTTACAGATTTTTTTTCTGCTTCAATCTGGGTCAAGGTTATGTAGGCAGTCTAACAGCTCCTAACTACACTGCTTTAGAAGTACCTCACTGATGTTTCCTCTCAACTACTCATTTATGAGAACTTTTTATCTGTTTCTGTCAGCCTCTCCCCAGATTCTCTGTCTAACCTGCACCAAGGGAATAAAATATATACAAACTGGGAGACTTTGAAAAGATAGGAAGAGTGTTGGTCTATCCTACAATCTAAACAGATCATTCATAACTGCCATTGAAAGTTTTTTTGATTTCTGAATGGTGCATTGATATTAAGATAAAATAATTTTACATAAATAACAGCAATACAATCGTTTTCATGTTAACACATCAGTACAGCAATACACAGGTTATTGGTCTGTGTCTCCTTGTATTGCTGTCTAAGTTCTTTACATTTGCATTGATAATGATAATAGGAGGTTTGTAATGTATAGCACTGAAGACACACCTGAAAACAATGAAATAACTCAAACAGCCTAATTTTCAAAGGCATAAAAAGGTCCTATCATGTATGTGATATATAACAAAAAATAAATTACTATCCTATAAATTACACATTTGATTAAGATTTGCCCCTCAGTTTAGGTTCTTCTTATCTAATACTAGTGATTATCCGGCATATCATTTGAGAAAGACAACAAACAAAAAATATCCTGAAAGCAAAAACTACCTGAAAGCTAAAATAACATCAGTTGGTTTCTGGAGCACTATGAGTACAATGCACTCTTATACCATCCTTGCTCATGTTTCCTCATTTGCATTTTTCTGTATGAATGCTCTCTTTCATGAAGCTGGGGAGTTACTGTTCCAGTCCACCATACTGTAAAGCCCATACATATACACTGATGCATGTCTAATCCACCAATTTAGGCACACTAAAAATAAAATCAGTACATGGAATTGAAAAGCATGCAGTTCAACAAATTACAGGTTTTTTATTGATATGTTCCTGAGTGTCGCATACAAGAAAATAGAAATAGGAGTTCAAGTGCCCTGCTGTGGTGCTACTGTAATGTGTGCATAGGAATATGTGTGTGTGTGTGTGTGTGTGTGTGTGTGTGTGTGTGTGTGTGTGTGTGTGTGTGTGTAGTGTGTGTAAGCTATCATAGCTCAGTCATGCAGGTAAAGTCATCATCACCAGCAATCTGCTCATGCCTCTGGGGGATCACGCACACACATACATGTGCATGCACATGAATACACACACGCACACACACAGTCTCTCCTGGGGTGTTTCTCATTCCACAGAGGAGGATAAAGGGAGGGGCAGAGTCCATTCACCCATATAGACAGAAAGAAAATTAATTTGTCACAGCACGTTTATCGTCAGGACAACCTGCCTTTTAATTAACGGCTGACAAACAGCACAGTGTCGAGTCTCTCTCTGGAGAAAGAGAGATAAAAAGAAAATGGAGGGGGGGAAAGTGCTTCCTTTTTCCACTTGTGATTGACAGAGGAACTGGAGTGTGAGAACGGTAGACTTTTGAACGTTCTTCATGGTTCCAATGTTTTTGGAGACAGATGACATTTCTATATTTCAGATCCTAAAAGGTGAGACTGCATTGCTATCTCAGTTTAGAAAAATTATTATTATGTAACAGAATTATGAGTAATTTGTATTTTATTGTGTTGTGCTTTGAAAATGAAATATAAAAATATATGTTTTTATTGTGCTGTGTGTGCACTTAAATAATTAAATGCTATGTTAAATAGCTGAGGTATGGATTAGTTTATGCACCTAAAACTTTAGTAGTTAGGAGCTTGGATACGAATTCACGCTCTCTGACAATTTATAGATGTTATTAGAAACATAATGACAAAAATCCTAAGTTTGCAGCTCTTATTTGTTGTACGATTGATAATTTACTTCTCACTTTATTGCTAATTTACTTTCAGGTTTCTCAATGTATATCTGCCTAATAAAGGTTAATAAACACATTTGATAAATAACTGACTGCAATGTGATTTAGTAATGTAACTGCAGCAGTCTTTTTTTCTTCTCAGCATTTCATTTCCTGTCATGTCCTTCAATTCATTAATACAAATCCATGTTTTCATAATATATAGTACTTTTTACATTTTATTGCCAAATTACTGCAGATATAAATTAAGAAATATATCATCATAACGATGAATCTTATCCAACATATTAGTGTTGGAGGATCTGTAAGACAAGGACAAACTGGCTTTTTATTTCCGTCGTTAACTTGCGTGTGTTTCTGCACGTCTGCAAACCCAGAGGCAGCCCCTTCATAGTGTGTCACAGTGTATTAATAAAGGCTGGCTGTGGCCTATGACCTTGTCAAAGTACTCATAAACTTTTGGTTTGTCTTTTGAGTGGTAGTTTAGTTTCATGGCCAGCCGCTGGCATATAGTGCTGGATGAAAAACCAAACAGCTCCTGTCTGACAACTCTGCTCTGTCATGTAAAACTAAAACATCTCAGCTCCGTGTGTGAGAGCGAACAGAGAGAGAGAGAGAGAGCGCTTGTGTTCGCCCCGGCTCACATCAAGCCTCAGACCAAAGAGCTCTTTAAAGTATCAAACCACAAATACAGACCTGCTGCCTCAAATACCACCCGAGTGGACTGCTGTGAGAGAAAGAGCGTGTGTGTGTGTGTGTGTGTGTGTGTGTGTGTTACCTCTTGAGGTTAAGCAGAGCCCAGGGGATGCCGGTAGGCGTTTTGAAGGCTGGCAGCAGCTTTTCACCCAGCTCCACTGCTTTCCTACGGAATACCTGACAAAATAAGAAAGCATCTCATTATAAGACGTTTCTCCGTGGATGAAAGAGGAATTCACATCTCAACCATCCCTTAAGAAAGACCCAAAGCAACGGCTGTAACCCCCAAAAAAGAAAAAAAAAATCACTGTCTACAGCACACAATAAGCATTTTTACACAGCAACAACATTCAGCATCAGACCCGTTAGACAAGGAAAGTTTGGTTGTTATTTAACCATGTAAACAACGAGACAATGTTAACCTTAGTTTAACTTGATAAGTATTGGTCCAAAACTCCAAAAACATTCAGTTTACTTTCATAAAAGGACAATTTTGCTTGAACAAATGACTAAAATGATTATCAAAATAATTGCTAATTATTTTTCTGTCAGCCAACTAATCAACTGACTAATTGTTGCAGCTCTAAATTGTTGTCAACTGCAGGTATAATTATATTGCCTGAATATTCTGTTGTTTTCGAACTAAAGAAAGTGACACACAGAAACAAATTCACATCATGTCAGCTTTGTACACCATGCGAGAAATTGAAGCATTTTCTTAAATATGTGTACTAGTCTTTGAAAAATGTTTTAAAATAACTACGAGGAGCAGTAGCACCAGCCAAGCCACAGCACCAGGGGACAAAGTCTGGTTTGAAGGTCAGGGCTTTCATCCAGGGCAACGTGTGACAAGGACATCTACACAACAACAGTCAAAACTCACTGAATTCATAGGTCAAACTCTTTAGAAAGCTTGATTTTCTTTGCAAATATTGTCCCATAAAGTCATCTTTAATACTGACTTCTTAAATTCTAAACTCTCCTCTTATAGATTTGTCAAGACAAACAAAAAAGTTTATAGCTTGCACCTGGAGCTCTTTTTTATCCCTTTATTCCCAGCTTTCCCCATTTCCCGTCTCCTTCCCTTTGTCCGTGTAATCTTTTGCCAAAGTTGTTCCCTGGCTGCCTTATTGTTGCTTGAAGCCACATTGTTGTTTTTCCCATATGTACTTTGAGGAAAATTACAGAGATTCTTCACCCCATTTAGGTTTTTTTGGAAGCTCACTTGCACTATGCAAAGATGCAATTATAAGGTAGCTTCCAGTAAAACTATTCCAAAAGGGCTCAACACTAACAAATAATAATGTACTGAGATGTTAAATCTGGACTTGAAGAAGAACATACACAGAATATTTCCAAAAGGCTCAACGTTAACAGTTGAAGACCAGTTTAAATGCTACAACAGAATGGATTTCGGACTACTTTGGCACTGAAAATAGACAAGTCTGGAAGAATAAGCCTACATTTTGGTGTACATGACTAATTGTGGAAACTAAATGGGCAGAATGATTAAACTATGCACATACAAAACATCCAGCAGCTTTTCACCTTTATACATTCAGAGTATTCACGCATCACAAGCTTCTAACTGACTGGCTAAAGAAAGTTCTTTATAGTAAGATATACAACACTGTCTCTATCTTTGCTGCTAACGAAAAAATCACTGAGGAAAGAAATGCTTTAATGATTCTCCGCACTACAGAGGGGAAAAAAGTATACTTAAGTAAAATACAAACTTGTTCTAAACAGCAGTGAGTCAGTCCTCCATCCAGAGAAAGCTTGACTCACTAATGTTTGATGTTTTACTTTTCTTTCATTCCTTTGGTATTTTTTCAGAATACAACAGCACAGGCTGAGCAAACACATGCATGTGTTGTGTACTTCAGTGTACTGACATCAATTTACCCAGTTTTGGAGTAGTGAAGTGCTTTTTTTTCCTAAAGTTACCCTCTATTCCACTTTTAACCACCAGTGTGTGCAGAGTGCTGGTGTTGCTTTAAATAACTTCATGAATATTCAACTGAAAAACAAGAGCAAAAAGAGCAAATAAACCTGGATCTGGGGCTGTTATAAAAGTGGGTGAATAGGTTTCTAGGGCCTGAATAAAACTGGGTGATGATGTCCTATAAAAGTGAATTTCCGGTAAGTCGTCATGTTTTTTAAAAACCTTTTTCAAACCAGTCATGTCATTGGTTGTTATTGCAAAAGAAATGTTTTCCTCAGCTACAAGTACAGTCCAAGCTTTTGTGTCAGCATATCTGACTGGACAGCTTTGCAGCCGTGTTAGCCGAGGGGTTATGGTGTCTCTAAGGTATCTGATTTTGTTGGCTGTAAAAGTAAAGTACTTCCATAGTTGGCTCTTGGCACAGGTTTAGTCAAGCAGTTAACACAGAATGGGATTTTGCCCAAGACATGGTGGACTGTTTGACACTGCTGCCAAGGATTCAGCAGCTTGACCCGAAATGCTGCCCACTGAGAAGAGTGACAATGTCTGTTTCAGTTTTTCTGTTCACTAGTGCAATTTGACCCTTGATGTAGAACGGAGTGCTTCTGTGGCACCAATTTAGTCCATCAGAAATGGCAAAAATAAAAGCAGAAATGTATTAAATTTGACAAATAAAATACTAAACAGAAATAGCCTGTTCTACAAAACATAAGATGAAAGATAAGTACAAACATTATCAAAGTATTTTGGAAGCAGTGGTATGACATCAAGCTTCATGAATGAGGAAACAAGTTCACTTGTTTAAGGAAGGACATCATTTACATCCACAGGGCAATTAAAACATCTGAGGAAGGCGTAGAGCGCTGGAAAGTGCACACCCATAAACAACGTCTGCATCCAGAATGTAAATGCAGGAAACCAAGCACAACTTCTCCACACTGTTTTCCTGCATTCTCAAAAACCTTTTTCAATAGTGCTTGATTTACTGCATTTGCAAATCAAACATAGCTCTGATCTGACACAGCTGACAAACTTTGAATCTGATCAGGTTTGCATAAGGCAGTCTTATTTAAATGTTCTGTTGCAACTACTGTGCACCACCTAACAAAAGGGAGAGAGCACAAAAACACTGTTGAATTATGCAATTTAATTACACGGGATCGTTATTACTCCAAATATAGAGATGGTTAAAATATAGTAAAACGGCAGGTAACGCAACCAAAGCTGGTGTGTGGTCACCAACCTCATAACCAATTCTAAAATTTACTTTATATAAAGTATTGATAAAGTTTTCAAAGTCAAACAACACTCCATTATTCTTTTTTCAGTGTAGTAATATCTTCCATATACACGCACACAGAGGTGTTACATTAGCATACACTGTGTCAGAAAGCTAGAAGCTCTGATCCCAAGGGATCTACCACTCAGCTGGGCGTGAGAGACAGGTGCAGGGTGGAGAAAAGATTTGTGAAGAAGAAAAGCTCAAGAGGCTACTTGTCAAAACAATATGGCAACTCAACAGCATATCCTTCAAAACTCAGAGGCAGGAAAAGATTACTGTGAGTTGGACTGGGAAGAGAAATGTGGTATTCATGTGGGATAAGAATACATGTGTAATGACAATGTGGGATTAACAATAAGAACAATGAGTTAGAAGTAGCAAATTCAAAAAGTCAATATTTTTGACATTGTCAAGATGCTACGAGTGATGTTTCTCATATTACGTTTTATGCACAAAGTAATGAAGTGGTACATTTGAGTATTTACTTAAATTAAACACTGCTTTGTCCACCACAAATCAAAAATCTAGTATGTAGTCATGGCAATACTTCTTTTTCTGTTACTTTGGTGTGTAATTAATTCTACTGACCTGTTCCCATCAAGCTGCCCGAACACACACAAGCATCTTCAGGCATTGCCGGACTGACTGACATTGGAAGTCCTTCACTTCAGTCAGTGGATGGTAAATAATGGACAATAATAAACGGATTATCATTTGGGAATGTCAGAACTTTGTCCTATCAACAATGGACTTAAGTTTTGGCTTAAAAAAGTTGAAAGTGTGAATTGGTGAATGTGATGTAGTGTAACGTGCTTTGAGTGGTCACAAAGACTAGAAAGGAGCTATAGAAATACATTTACCATAATATTTCTTTATTTTACCCACTGAACCCACAATGAATTGTCACTCAAGAGCGTTTTAGCATCTTTCAGCTCATTGTTTTGGTTTTACAGCCCTCAACTTCATCAACTCAGTTCCCAGCCACTTGCTAGCACTAAAAAGAAGAGAAAGTTAGTGACTCACTGATGCAGGTTTAAGCCACTGCCACCTCACCACACATTTCATGCTGTATGGAGAAGTATTTAGAGGTTTTGCCAGAACAAAGACCAGTTTAAGGAATGTTCTCAGGGCAGCACTGTGTCAACAAAAACATTGCAAAAAAATGTAGTTGCAGTATAATTCTCTAAACTTCAAGAGACATAAAAAAGAAGATGAAATTAATTGACAATCAGATGGAAACAAAGTTTTCATTATGGCCAGCACTTCCGCCAAATGCCACAGCTATTAGTTTGTTCCAGGGCACATAAACAAAGGTGGACATTGTTGGTACTGGAGAAACGGCAAAACAGGCAGCTCCCCTAATAAAATATGTGGAATATTTTGTAGACTTAATCTCATGTAATTATAAAAACCCATATTAACACTGTATTTCAAAAGGACCAACAAGATACAGTATTTTCAAGCCAAGATTTGTGGTGGCGATGTTGACACAAAATGTGTGTGTATGCTGCACTGTGGGGGCAGGATTGTGTCGTAACAAGGCGTCAGATCCCAGTGATTAATGCCTTTAATAATGCCAGGAGCACGCTGAGGGGAGGAATAAAAACACTCCCAGGGATGCACAGAAGAATAAATTAAAGGGTGTCCAAGGCCATCAAGCAAACTGCCAACGAGCTTTAATAAGGAACTGAATTATACAGGAACTAAGGAACACGCACACACACGAAGCTTGTGGTTGAAGTCATTAGTAAAAACTGATGTTGATAATCACATTTCACACCTGGGCGCTTCTGACAAAAGTAACCATCAGGAAAATGAACTACTATACTGTTGCGTTTTGGTTTTGTTGTATATGTTAACCTAAGTAAATGGATATATCAGGAACTGATAATTCATGAAACCACTGTTTCACCAGAGTGAGAAAGTGTGCATGATAGCAATGTACCTTTG